AAATACTATTGTAATTAATTGTCTCACCAAAATTATGCATAGGTGGTATTATAATTCCAATTTTGTAGGTGAAGAAATTTGCAGTCATATTCTCTATTTTTCTTTCTTTAAGAATCTATAGGGGCAGGTGGTCTTTTCATTTCTGTATAAAAGGTATACAGTGTATATTCAGTGTATGATTAAGTGAATGGATAGACAAATTAAAGCTTAGAGAGGGAGGGCAGTGGGCTAGCTAAAGAGCAAACAGAGCAGTTGGAATACCACCTCTGTATTCAAATCCTGTTTGCTTTCCTAGTGCCACATCATGCATGCATACCCTGGGTTAAGAGACAATTTGTTCAAGTTCCCTTCTTTAAGCTGGTATCATACTATTGTTCAGAGCCCACTGGAGTTCTACAACAGAAATCATTGATGTATAGCTTACTTTAAGACTTCAAGAAAAACTGAAGTTAAGAACGTACAAGATAAGCTTTGTTATTCACTACCAAAACGTCCATTCAGTGCTACAGACATTTTCCAGGGGCCTGTTATCAGTAGCCACTCTGCTGTGCCCTGAGAATAAGACATAGAAATGGAGGAGCCACTGGGCTGGACGTGCCTGAGCACCTTCTTTCATGGAGTTACTTTCAGACTGGTAGGGGCTCTACCATACACTTCATCACTTCATCCTTGTCAGTTATAGAAGATGAGTTCAAATATAATTCAAAATAGTCAAAAGAAATAACAGTCAAGTATATGTGGGCTATCCATCAACTCCCAAGTACACAGGACTAATCATTGTTTCAAGACCTTCTCTATGCACCCTGGGTGGGCAGTTTTTCCATAAAAACTATAATTCCTTGGGGCCCTCCCTGGTGGCACAGCGGGTTAAAGCACTGCACTACGAAGCTTAAGCCACTTCCGCATGAGTTCAATTCCCGCCTGCCCCAGAGGAGTCCACATGGCGTGGCAGACCTCTCCTGACCCACCCGCTGCTCCCCTCAGCAGTGTACTTTGTTGATCTGCCTGTTCTGCTCCCCACTCTATCTCTGGTGAATCCTCTCACCCTCCGCATCTCTGGCCTGTACCCCAGTTCTATATGAATAAATAAATAAATCTTTAAAAAAAAAACTGTAATCGGGCCCTCCCTGGTGGCACAGCGGGTTAAAGCACTGCACTACGAAGCTTAAGCCACTTCCGCATGAGTTCAATTCCCGCCTGCCCCAGAGGAGTCCACATGGCGTGGCAGACCTCTCCTGACCCACCCGCTGCTCCCCTCAGCAGTGTACTTTGTTGATCTGCCTGTTCTGCTCCCCACTCTATCTCTGGTGAATCCTCTCACCCTCTGCATCTCTGGCCTGTACCCCAGTTCTATATGAATAAATAAATAAATCTTAAAAAAAAAAAAAACTGTAATCCCTCTTTGAAAACCAGGAATTTGACATTTGAGCGAGTCATCTCATAATTCCCCATGTATAGTTCACTTAGAATAATACAGGAAGGATCTTTCTTTCTAGATCCATAGTTTAGAGCACCTAGTTAATACAAATTACTTTATGAAAGTATTAACCATTTCCTCCACATGCATTTTGTCTTTCTATAAAGATAATCTCTTTCTTATTTTGAGCTGATTACTAAGTAGGGTTATTAAAACACAAATATATAATGACATGAAATTAACATGTCTGACTCATGATTTGATGTCACAAGTATTCCTACAGTCAGTGTCTATACAGCATTTTGCTGTACACAGGTCTACAGCAGCTGCTTCATGGCTACAGAATAAGCTACTTATTAGTATAAAGTCAAGGGTTAGTCTAGATGCAGAGTATTGTCATTTTCTAATAATCATAAACTACATTGCTATAACTAGACTAAATTTTCCTCATCAATTTGATGCCACTAACAAAAGATTTAAAAAATCAGCCAGCCTCTTCTCTCAAAATACTTGCAGATTAGCTCAGACTTTAGATGTAGGACAGAAACATAAGGCCCAGTGCTCATTGGGTCAACACCACACCCATAAACTGTGGCCCTAGAGCCTGGACGTTGGCTGGGTGACTGCGTATATAGTGATAGATTCCTAGGTCATATACTAGTACTCCACAAATACAGAGGGAGGCAAACAGTGAAAGAAATGAACAAATGGCTTTGTGGGGGCTTATTTTATGTCATTCAGTGTTCTGTCTACAGAGCAATAAGGCAAATATCATACTTCTTTTTCAGTTGAAAACAAGACCACAGGTGCTAACAAAGGGTGCAGGATTGGAATTAGGTTGCCAAAATTAAAACCCCAGCACTACATTTTAATTTTTGATCAGATTGTTTAATCTCTCAATTTCCCCCATTTTAAAGTGTGTTGGAGACCAGCTCCAACTTTTGAGGTGTCTGGAGGCAACACAGGAAGGACCCTAAGATGGGAAGGTGTCGGCGAGCGGAGATTCCAAAAAGGGGAGAGAGGAGCGGGCGCAAGGAAGACACAGGAGTCAGGGTTGGGTGCAAGTCTTCCTGCCATTCCTTCAGCAGGTCTTTTTATAGACTGTGTAGCAAGTAGTTAATTGTAATAATGCATAGGGTGAGTTAATGAGATATCACCATAAAACATTCTCAAGGACAAGGGGAAAAAGCATTCTTCTTTTAACAATTTATGGTATGCTAGATTATACATTTTTGTGATAGTTATCATGTATAAAGCTGTCTAGTTATCACTCAAAGGAAGAGGGGTCTGGGAAAGGGTGAGCTTGTTAGCAAAAGGTTGTTAGGGATCTTGGGGGAGTAATAAATTGTGTTAGCAGTGTTATCAGTGATTGTCTAAAGAGAGTTTAGTGGCTAATTTTTTTTTTTAAAAGATTTACTTATTCATATGGAACTGGGGTACAAGCCAGATATGTGGAGGGTGAGAGGACTCATCAGAGACAGAGAGGGGAGCAGAACAGGCAGATGGATGAAGTACACTGCTGAGGGGAGCAGCGGGCGGGTCAGAGGTCTGCCTTGCCATGTGGATCTCCTCTGGGGCAGGCAGGAATCGAAGTCATGCAGAAGTGGCTTTAGCTTCTTAGTGCTGTGCTCCAACCTGCTGCACCACCTGGGAGGGCCCACTAGTGGCTAATTTAAGGCTAGCAGAGAGTAGTTAGTGCTTGTTTTAAAAGGAGTAAATTAAGAGAAAGTTGTACAGTTGTGTATCAAACAACACCTGTGTAGTTGAGGTTAAAATTTTCCATGAGTCCTTATGCCCTGGGAACCTTATCTGAGGTTTACTTTTTTATTCAAAGAAACCAAGGAAACTTCCCAGGAGTTTTTATGCCTTGGGGTCTTATCTCTCCTGGGGCTTGCCTTTTGTCTCAGGAGACAGAGGAATTTCTCATCCTGGGGCAGCTTGCCTGAACCAGGCAGCAGCCTTATGTGGCTAAGACAATCCAGTTGTAAACTGATGATTGCTCAGAATATTTTGATATTATGATTATACAAAAAAGGGAGGTCATAACATAAGTTAGCAGTGGAAAGTCTGATTTTTCAGAGCTTTTCCCGATCTACCTGGAATCTATCAGACGATAGACGTTGCATAGCTTGTGTCAAAAGTGAATATTTAATTTTTATACTTTGTCCTCTTTTGAGGTTCTTCACCTCCATTTTCATTAATGTCAGTATACTTTTCTTTTAATTTTATCAAAGCACTAATGGTCTCTAACATTACATAGATTTCAGTGAACAGCATTATAGTTCAATATCTACATGTGACACATTATGATGCTCACCAAAAGTCTAATTGCCAGCACCCAGACAAGCCTGCAGCATCCCATTTCCCAACATGAGCCATGATCTCAATGCAGTTGTGTTTCAAAACTATGAACAGATTTCTCTCCCAAGACAAGCCATGTTTTTCTGTATCGTTACACAAAATACTATTTTAGTGTGTCCTTTTATCTCATTGTTATAGAGGTGTTATTTTTCCTCAAACCAGGGAAGGACCAGATGAATTGCAACATTACTATTAGATGAAATTTCCTTGTGGCCTAGCAAGGAGATAGAATTCAATGTTCTTTTATCTCAGAGTAAAACACGTACAGACACACGCATGCACCAAGAAAGATAAAATTTTAGTGAATTCTTTGCCTCTCTCTGCTTTTATGTCAGCATATATGCATATGAAGCTAAAGCTGTGATAGAGCTCGCATCTAGTACTTTAAATAATGAAGCTGATTTCAACACTTGCCTAAAAACAGATTGTATGGGAGTTATTACAATGGAGTTCATCTCCTGTACTGCCTTATTACATAACTATAGATATTAAATTATAGCAAACCTCTTTTATCTATAGAATAAAAAGTATATCCACTATGACTGGGATTCCTAGAACACACCAAATAGACCAGAAAAAGTAATCAGAGGCATCTAACTTGGACAGGAAGATCAATACAATCTAGTTTCAGAAAGACAAAAGAAAATGAGCAACCTCATAGGAGCCCATCCTCCCATAAGAGGAATCTTCGGTGAAAAAGAGAGAATGAAAAGGGCAAAATCAGTATCTGATTTGGCTGATACTACCAAAATTTGATGAAAAAAATTAATATGCATATGTGAAAAGTTCAGTGAATCCCAGATATAATAAACTCAATGAGACCCACACTGAGACACATAGCCAAATTGTCAAAAAACAAAAAATAGAGACTCTCAAAAGCAGAAAGTGATACATCTCATTACATACAAGAGCATCTAAAGGTAACAGTTAATTTCTCATCAGAAACCATGGAGGCAAGAAGCAATGAGATGATACTAAAAGAAAAAAATGGCTATTAATCCAAAATACTGTACATGGCAAAGGTGTCCCTCAGCATGAAGTTTTTACTCATTACCAGCTAAACAAAAACAGAAATAGAAGTAATTGCTAATATAGTTTCTCATTAGGGTAACAACATATTACAAAACTTTATTGTGGCTATGACTGAACACTTCTGCCTATACATATGATAAAAGCATTGTTTCCAAAGGCTGTCTTTTTTTTTTCTTTTTTTAATATTTAGCTGGACAACTCAGCCAGTCAGCACATTTAGCTCTTCAACTGCCATACAATGTGCTTGGGTTAGGTCGAAGTGCAAATTTTCTTGATCATCTTTACGTTGGTATTCCCCGTCCATCTGGAGAGAAGGTGAGTAAAAAATTATTTTGTTTACAACTAATCTGTGTTTTAATATTTGACATGTAAATAGTTCAAACATTTTTATTCCCTTTAAATAAAATAATTGATCTAAGCTTTCTTAACACAGGGCACATCATAATTTGAAGTACAGTTTCTTGCCACCTCTCCCATAAATCTCACAACTTTTTATATCTTTTGTTTACAACTTCCCCCCTTGAATATTAGCTCCAAGCATCATTTGTATGTAGCACTTTGAACAGTGCCTACTACCATAAATATTTGTTGAATTAATGCATTTATTTGAAGTAGAAATATAATTCTTCCATGAAAAGCTATTTTAAATCTGCCATCAGGACACAGAAAGCTTATTTGGGCTCAATATATGTAAATTTAGCTTAATCCATACCTAGGGTTTCAGTTAAAGAGTAAGTTTTTCCTTTTTTCTTTTTGTAAGCATGTATAAACTGGATTCTCTGTTCAAGAGTGCATTATTGTGAAAAGAAGTAATTATTGTTTTTATATATAGACAAAATTATATGTATAGCTGCATATAATTTTATACCTTAAATGAAAGTATACATTTATTTTGTTACTAACCTAACCTCTATTTTATTTTTTCCTCCACATTCCATTATACCCTTTTGACCTCCCCCTACTTGAACCTCAGAGAACTCACTCCATTTATTGGTGTCCACTAGTTTTTATGAGCATTTCACTTTGTCACATTGTACACTATGTAAATTTCTGATACTATGGGTAATTCCCTCAAACTCCTGTGTTGCTTTAAGTGGCAACATTTTGCCTTTCAAAATGATTAGATTTCCAATGTGTGGCTAGGCCACAGCTTCTTGGCCTGATCCTCTTTAGTGAGCACTTAGGCTGTTCCCATATCTTCATTATGAAAATAATGCTTCAATAAACATTTTAGAGCATATGATTTTTGAGTTGATGGTTCCATATTCTTTGGATAGATTCCCAAGAGTGGGGTTTTTGGGTTATATAATATTTCTAAGTTTTTCCAGATAAATCCAGATATCTTTTCAAAATTACTGTACCAGTTCTACCAACACTATAATAGGTTTCCTCTCACCGTATCCTCTCTAGCATTTGTATTTGGGGGTCTTTTAATATGTGCCATTTTCATGGATATGAAACAATACCTCATTGTGGTTTTGACCTAAATTTCTTCATTTATCTGTTGGCCTTATAGATACCTTCATTGGTGGATTATGTGTTCAGATCTACTGCCTATTTGTCAATTTGGTTTTGGGGGGGTTTTTTATTGTTAAAATGTATACTTTTTTTATATGCTTAATTATGAACCCCTTGTTGGTTGTATGATTTATAACTATTCTCTTCCATTCAATGGGATGTCTTAACCTATTTAGATTTTCTTTTATTTTTTAATTTGAGGTAATCTAAGTTGTTTACAATTGCTCTTATTTTCCTTGCCAGGGGTTGAGTCTCCAAAACATCTTAGTCATTTATGTCATGAAATATATCAACAGTATTTTCTTCTATACATTTTATCTAAATCTTTAATCCAGTCAAATAGTAATTCCTTTGTTTTTCCCTTTTTTCTCAAGATTGTGTATGGTATTCAAGGTCTTTATGTGTTATATAAATTTCAATATTTTAATATGTTTTCTCTACTAATTTTCTTTAAAGAATACTGTTAGTGTTTTCGAAGGGGAATTAGATCTGTATCACTAGTGGAAGAATAGTGATTTTGAGTATATTGATCCCTCCAATCCATGAGCATGGAATGTCTTTCCATCTTATTCCTGATCTTCTTTTTGTAACATCTTATAGTTTACATATATATATTCTTCACTTTTGTCCAATTAATTCCTAAGTATTTGATTCTTTTCAAGTGATTGTGAATGAAATGATTTTCTTAATTTTTCTCCTCATTTCTATATATAGACACACACACACACACATATAATCTGTTGCTAACAGATTTTGTATGCTGTTATTTGTGTGTTCCTTCTAATACCTCTTTGGTGGATTCTTTAGGGTTTTCTATATTTATAATCATAGCATCTTCAAATATACCTCACTTCTTTCCAACCTAGATGCCACTTATTTCCTGTTGTTGTATGATTGCACTCAATCTAAGTTTAAAAAAGTAATGCCAGCAATGAGCATCTTTATCTGATTCCTCATACAAAGAAAGTGGGTCATTTTCAGTTTTTCACCATTAAGTATTATATTAACTGTAAGTTTGTAGTATATGGCCTTTATTATGTTGAGATTCTTATTAGAATTTTGTGATTTTTTTTTCATTGTTAATATTCTTAAATTCCTGTTCCAGGCTATACGAAAACAAGAGTGGACTGCAATCATTCCAAATTCCCAGTTAATTGTCATTCCATATCCTCACAATGTTCCTCGGAGGTAGTATCTTTGTATGAACATAATTTGATAAAAAGTGTTAATCTAAATCATATCTACTGTTATAGCTTTTAAAAACTCTCTTCCTGTTGTGCTCCCATATGTGCTATCACTTCATTTACATCAACCTTAAATGACGAGACCTATCTATAAGAAGATCTCTGACATTTTTCGTGAAGAACACATTAAACCTTATTAGAAAAACAACACGTTGACTAATTAGAGTTTACATATATTCTACTGAATGAAACGAAACTGGTTTTCAGGTACATTGGTTATAAATTCCAAAATGTTAAGATACTAAACATTTTAAAGAACATTGGTCTTTTGATAAATGCTTTGAGAGTAGTTAACACACAAAATTTTGGAGTCTTAACAGATGTGGACTAGAAACTCAGCTCTACCATTGACTGACTGGGATTGGTGGTTGATTTCTGCAGTGTAATGAATGATATAATACCAATCTATACAGATGAAATATGCTTAATACAGGCCTGGGTAGTTAGCTTTCCATGAATTGTAGTTATTTTTATCCTTATTAGCAGAATGTTCCTTTAATTATATAGCATTTAACTCTAAATCTTTAATTTATCTTTGTTCATTTCCCTTTAAATCACCAGCATGAGTCTTTTTAAAAAATAGGTAATGAGAGACTGTGCCTTGGTGATGGGCATGGTGTGGTAACATGCACCTGAAGAAATGTAACCCTTTATTTTTGAATCATATACCATGTTCTAAGTCAATGTTACCTTAAATTTAAAAAAAAAAATTCATTGGGAAGAATATAATTTGTTCTTAAAGTTAATATGATATCAGTTGAAAAATTAATCAAAGAAAAATAGTATAATACACTTAGGAATATATAAGTAGTGAGGTCCTGCATGTTATATTTCTTCTCAAAATACAGGTAGGTTGTGTTGTTATTTATTAAATTTTTACATGGGATATATTTAATGGCTTTTGTAGAACCAGCTCATGCTACCTCATGAGCTGGATTATATGCATCTCTTTCCAACTCTTTTCTCTGAGGTCACATTAAAATCAGTCATGATGGGACTATTTACGCCATGAAAATTAGTAAATGCCATAAATTGGGTTTTTCCTCCACAGAGCCAGTTTTATCAATATGCTGCTGGATATATTTTATAGTGGATTTGTTGGCTTTAGAACCAAGCTACTTACTTAATAGAGAAAACAACTTTATAGCATCATCATGCTTTAAGTAAGATAAATAGAGACAGTTTTAGTCTGATTTCAGACGTTTAAATAAGTCTGTATCATATGTTCTGAGAGTGTTATGTGTAAAATAGAAAAACTACCAAGAAAATGTGCACCAATTATACTTGTATATCATGTTGCAAAATCATGACATAGAATAACCTAGTAAAATAGAGGTAAGCAAAAAACAATAAAGGCAAAATACATGCAGATAATGAGCAAAAGTTTTTATTTTATAAAGAAGGCACATATTGGAATGGTGTGCAAAAAAAAAACTGATAGGAAAGGCTCCTTCTGAACAAGAAGTTAAGAACTGCACTTCTAGGGCCCTCCCTGTTGGCACAGCTGGTTAAAGCTCAGCACTAAGAAGCTAAAGCCACTTCTGCATGAGTTCAATCCCCGCCTGCCCTGGAGGTGACCACATGATGCAGCAGACCTCTCCTGACCTGCCCGCTGCTCCCCTCAGCAGTGTACTTCGTCGATCTGCCTGTTCTGCTCCCTACTCTGTCTCTGGTGAAGCCTCTCGCCACCCCTGAGCCTCTGATCTGTACCCCAGTTCTGTATGCACAAATAAATAAACCTTTAAAAAAAAAAGAAAGAAAGAAAGAATTTTTGAGTACGAAGTAAATATTTTGAATAGCTAGCCCCAACTAATTAACCCTGTAGTTTGCTTGCTCTTGTGAATTTCTGCAGTTTGTTTTTTAGTTTTCTTCCATTATCTCAACATTTTTCATGTCTCACTCTTTCTGAACAAATGTTCTTTTCAAATTTATGTACATAATAAAAAACAATTGATTTTAGTCAAAGGTGTATTTTAAGGTTTATTGAGTAGAGGCTAACTTATGGATCAGTAAATTTTAATTATCCTAAAATAAGTCAATCACTACTTGCTGTTCATTAGATTTTACCTTTATTAAACTGTGAAGGGGAAATATAGTTATTATTTATTTTCAGGGAGAACAAAAAGTTCTTTGTATATAACCATGTACCGTATTGGGGATAGAGACCTCAGTTTTAGGCTTTTTAGGGTTCACAAGTATTGTATTAAGTGTTTAGAAAGAGAGCTAGTCCCATTTGTGCAGAAATAAATTTATTGCCATTAACATTGAAGGAACTACTAAAAGTGGTTTTATTAAAGGTCTTTATGTAAGAGTCAATGCAGTAATGCAAGCCCTCCAAACATAACACAGAAATGATAGATTTGCCATCTATCTGTGCCTATTTGAACATATGGTGATTTTAGTTGTCATAGCATAATTTTAATTCTTTGGTTTTGCCCTGCAGCTGGAGCGCCAAGCTGTACCTCACACCAAGCAACATTGTCCTGCTCACTGCCATAGCACTCATTGGCGTCTGTGTCTTCATCTTGGCAATCATTGGCATTTTACATTGGCAGGAAAAGGTTGGTTTGATTCAATGAAACATTTCTCTTTAAAAACATTATATTTTAAACATTTCTCACATGACTAAGATTTCTGGTTTTTCCATTTCTGTCCATAATGTCATCTAATTAATGACTTCTTTTATTCCATTAAGGTACGCCTGTCTGTTAAATAGTCATACAAATTATAGAAGACTATTTTGAAACTTAGATATCCTCCAAAAGCTATGAAATGGTTACCCCAAAAATTACCATGTTTACAGAAATTTTTTTATTAGAAGAAATTCCATAATGGTCTGGTTAATTAACCTTACTCATTATCTACTGACAGACCCATGCACACTTTTCTCCAAGAATGACAACTGTCACTCCACAGAGATGTTAAATGAGTTTTTCAAGGTTTTGGTGAGGAGTAAAAACTCATAAACCCTTTTTCAAGCTATCAAGTATTCTTTGCACTAAACTAATTTATATAGTAATTGAAAACAAAGGACTACAATGGTAGATTTTATACAGTGTTCCTGAGGGTGATCACATAAATTAATTAGAGCTCTCTTCTATTTCTGTGATGACTCCAGCAACATTCCCCCAAAATCGTTTTTTTATATCACAAAAGTGTTTTCTCTGTTTGTACCTACTTCTCTGAACTGTCATGTTTTAATCATTTTTAACTAAAATTACCTTCTGCTTTAGCTCAGTTTTTTTAACATGTGAAAAAGAACATATTGCTATGATAAATGTTTATAAGTGGTCTCTAAAAATTCACTCCTTCATATGTGAAAAACAATGATAGTTGTATATTCAGTTAATTTTAATTTTGTAACTTAAAGGTAAGATGAGGCAGCATATACATTTTGTCCAGAAATGTCAGACTATAATTTAAAATGCTACATAGCTCTAAACCTATGAAGGAAAGGAAATTAGTTTTATTAATTTCTCAGGCTGAGTGTAGGATAAACACTGTGGATTTAGAACAATGATGACACAGGAGCAAATATTGAAGTTTTCAGTACAAATTTGCATGTGCGTGTGTACTGGCCCTCCACCACCCCCTTTTCTCCTAGCTCTGTCTGCTTCTGTTTCCCTCCTAGTCAGTGTTGGCTGCAGACCCGCTTCTGCTCTACCAATTTTAATCTAAAATCATGACTCCAGCTACTACCTCAAATAGCCCAAACCTGGTTACTCTCTACAGGACCCCTCCTCGCTGTCCAACAGCCCCCAGCATCTCTTCCCACATCACTTAGACACGCCTCAAAACTAGAATTCTAAAGCGTTGTCTCTTCCTTATTAACCCTCAGATTTAACCGGTTGCCTCTTCACCTCCTTAAGAGTCTGCGGTGGCCCCACTGCTGGGCCTGCCAGATCCCACCTGGCCTCCCTGACTCCATTCCCCCCTCCCCACTGTACTTACACACTGCTGCCAGGTTATTGAGTGGACTTATAATCTTGTCACTCGCTGTCCAGAAAGCTCCGAAAACTCAGGTGAGGCCAACCACCTACCAGGTGTAAGCCCAGCTGCCCTTTATAGCACACACGTCTCCCCGCCACCTTGGACCTCCGGCGTCTTTCGAACCAGCTGTTCTCATGACTCCCTGCTCCCCGCGACCGTCCAGGTGAAGCTTCTCTTCTATCCAAGCTTAGAATAGCGCCCTTCCCCACCCTCTATAACTCCTGCTTTCTCAAGACTTTCCCTGTCCTCAACCCAAACTAAAAGTAATTGTTCAGAATAGTTTCACCTTTTACCCTGAAACACAGTTTTCACCATTGCCTTTTAAGTTCCTTGAGAACAACATAGAAAACTGAGGGTTTTTTAAGCCTTCAGAATTCCTGGCGTGGTGCCTTTGTGGGAGCAAAGGCCTCTTTAAGTATATGCTAAATCAGTAGGCTAACCCAAAATTAATGTTCTATAACGTAATTAGCCTGGATTCATTTATTAACATCAGTATTAAGAGCCAAGGAAATGATTCTAGATTTACAGATTCTGAAATGTTTACTTCTACTTTGAAACAAATAATAAATAAGGAAGGAAGGAACATTTATTGTTTTCAACTAATGAATCATTAATTGTAAAATGGCCACTGTAAACTTGAAAATTACTTTATGAGACTATTACATAATAAAATCACATTTTTACCTGATTGTTGAGGGCTTTTGTTAATCATTTTATCTTTCAGAAATGAGGCTTTTCTTGACTTCTTGACATTTTTCTATCACTTTAAAGTAATCTAATTTTTTTTTTTTTTTTTAGAAAGCAGATGATAGAGAAAAACGGCAAGAAGCCCATCGGTTTCATTTTGATGCTATGTAACATGTCTTTAACATTACATAACGGAGCTTCTATTCACTTGATTAACTGAAGCACTAAATCTGGCTTGTAGATGAAAATAGGGGATTTTGGATATTATTTATAAATGATGCATCCTTCAGTAATTATTGGAAAGTATTCAAATAAATATGGCCTGAATGTATCACAAGATCTTTTTTTAAAGCACTTTGTATACAATAATTTGGGTTCTTTATTCAATTGTGCTGTACACTTTTGTTTCTTTGTGGAATGTGTTGCATGTACTCAGGTGTTTACATATTTATAATCTTATTAGAATAATGATGATGGGGAAAGACATGTAAATAAAAAATATTTAAATGAACAGGGTTTTCTGTGTTCCACTTGAATTAGTCTTGCTTCTTACTCAATGATGCAAATTATACTTTGTGAATGTATCACAGATACGGTTATTAACCACTCACCTTCATCATAGCAGGTCGGGGCCCCTCACTCACGGCACTGGATGTAATGACCAGGTACTCTGGCTTGGGAATCATATATCAGACAGACTGGCCTTAAACTTCTGGCTCCACCAATTAGAATTGTTGGGACGGGCTAGTTGCTTAACTTCTGTAAGCCTCAGTTTTCCTGTTTATCCAAGGGAGCTAATAAGTTCACTGAGTCACTGTAAGTATTAAATAGAATAGTGTAGGTAAGGGACTTGCATGGTGCCTGGCACAGAGTAAGTGGCCAGTACATGGTAGTTGTCATCATTGCTGTTTTTAGAAAACTTTTTACAGACTCTACAACTAATTATCAAAATATATAGACTTGGGACAACTTTATTAGGCCAAAGGAAATCATATTCTTTGGAAAACCTAAATTCTTGGTAGTTGACAATTTAGATAATGATTGCTTGCTTGTGACTTAAAAAAAAACCCTCCAAGAATTAACATGCCCTAAAATTTTTCATTTGAATACTGACACGTGATAATGAAGAGTTTGATTTGTTGAAAGGATTCTGCTGCAGATAGCATCTGGCAACGCAAATCTTTCATCACATTTCTATTCTCAAAATCTTGTAGGAGTCTATAATTTACATTCAGAGTTCAATGCAAATTTTTATGAACTTGACCTTGCCAAAAAGTTACTTTTAGACTTAAGTCTAAGATTGGAGGAAAAGAAGCTTTCACATCAGTGTTAATAATTTTCTAATATGCAAATGGATATGTGATGCCGTAAAGCATAAAACTTACCTGAAACTGTTTTGTTGTCTGTTATTTTCTTCGCAGTTCTCTAAGGATGGCATGTGTAATAGTGGTTACTTTGTGTATCTAAGCATGTTAATGTCTTAATAAATTTATTGAAACAAAGTGTTTTGGTGCATTTGTAACATTATTTTGGAGCTTTAGAGGGTATGAAGCTCACTCCTTGTCTGTGAGAGGAAGGGAAAATGACTACTTGGTTGCTGCTTTATTAGTTAGGGCAAGATGGGAATCTCCTGACTACAGAATTCACTAACAATTATTGACCCCAGCATTATCCCAGGCACTATGCCATGCTGTCTCTAAAGACAGTTAGGCTTAATATCCAGCAACTGACATGAGTTTTTAAAATCCCCTGAAGTCAGACTTTATGAGGGGTCATGTTATAGACAAATAAAATGTCACTGACAATTAAAAATAAAATCAGTGTCATTAGTACTGTTTCCATATCTTGATACTAACCTCCAAATGCAACACCAATGTAAAAGGACAAAGACTTTTATATTAATTTTGAGTTCAGACATGCATTCAGAATCTTAACTCTCCTATCTATGACTTCAAGTCACTCGCAAAACCCTTTCATGTCTTGATTTCATCTGCAAAATAAGAACAGAACATGATGCCCACCCTAAAGTGCTACTTTGAGTCTCAAACACTAAGATGTACAAAGAAGGTGCCTTAACGAATGCTTGTTCCTCCTCACAGCAGGGACACTTCCTGACTGCCTTCCACTGAGCCATACTTCTCATAATCCTCCTTCTTAGGAAACTGGGAGAAGTAATTAAGATAATAATCACTTACAAGACAAGTATTACAAATACCATAAATACAGTTGTTAAAATACCATTTGTTTAGAAAAGTAAGGTATAGTTCTCCATTTACAGTCCAAAAAGACTATATTTTGAGAAAATCAGTTCCAAAATAGTTTCTCCCTTCTAATAGGTCTTGGGATTCAAGATAACTTTCAAAATAATTTCTTTACACTTTCTACTGTTAGTAAGGAAGGTTGGGACCTCTGGTGGATATTAAGTTTCCTAAGAAGTGCCTCTACTCACACAGGTAGTGATTGATAAACTATCAAAATGGAAAAGATCCTCTTTTCACAGGTATTTCAAGCAGTGAAATCCTATAGTAAAATGTCTCAAGCTAGCGGAAAAATAAATCACTAGATTCCATATTAGTTCTTAGACTAATACAAGAGTGCCATGGATTTCATGTTAATTGCTATAATGCACTTATCTCCATGTCTTAAAAGTCATTTCCCTTTTGTTCTTTAGAAGGTTTCTAAAAAGAGCAGTCAGGAAATATTTATACAGCTAGGAATACTCAAAAAGAAAACACAAAAATTTGAATTGTATACAGCAGATCCTGAGGGCTACCTGCCAGATATGAGTGAAGTAAATGTACACCAGCTCCACTGACATCCTAGAGCCCAACTGTACATCACCTGAGCAGTTATTTTAAAAGATTAATGAAATGGGTCATAGCTTAGGAGGTGCTCTTGATCAGTGAACAGAAGAAAGGAGAAAAGCAAGATTAGGCAAAGGGAGAAACAGAGTTTGATTCTCAATGGACTGCATCATACAGCCCTACAGTGAGTTTTGAGATAGGTTGACCTTTTAAACATCTAACCTACCCCACACTGGGATCAGAAAGTCAGACCTTTATACCACCTCATTCATCAATTACTGGTTTTGGCTGCCCCAAAGAGGTCTATCAAGAAAAAGAAAACATACAAATATTCAATGTCAGAAATGAAAAAAGAAATAGAACTATTGCAGTTAGTGTGTGTGTGTGTGTGTGTGTGTGTGTGTGTGTATGTACACACATAAACAAAGTGAGCCGTTAAAAACAATTTTATACCAATTCCTAGGGAAAAAATGACTCAAGCAGGACACTTACACCTGCTAGATGCTGTCATGTGATATCCAAGAGCCTCTTTTAAGAACAAAGAATTTATCACACCCTTCGATAGTTCAGCTGATAGAGGACACATCTGAAGAATGAAGGCTTTATTATCAGGACATTTGGGAGTAACTTCAGCTGCAATAGTTCTTATTTCCTTTTTCATTTCTGATATTGACTATTTGTATCTGTTTTCTTGACAGACATTCTAGGGGCAGCAAAGTAGCCAGCAATTGATAAATGTGGGCATATAAAGGCCTACCCCAAGTTGAAACAGGGTAGGAGATAAAGAGGTCATCCTATCCCCAAACTCACTGAGGCAACCCGTTGAGAATGGACCTTGTTCTCTTCTCAGCTGAAGAGAACAGACTAGCCAAGTTTACTCTCCTTGACATCAGAATCCTAAATATGTAAAAACTAAGTAAATAAAGCCAAAATGAAACAATAAGGAGATAAACAGGCTCGTGATTTAGATTTAGGTAGAAAATGTCAATACACAGCTATAGTGACTGATAGAAGTAGGCAAAATTCAGAAAACAGATAATCTAAAAGCACAATCAATCAACCCAATCCTAATGGACATTTATAAGACACTTCAAACAACAGTAGCAAAATACAGTGTCCTTACATGTACTGGAAGATTCACCAAGATAAGCCATATTCTTGGTCATACAACAAATTTAAAAGAAAAAAAATCACATGCACATTCTCAAGCTAAAATGAAGTTAGAAAGGCATGTACAAAATACCAAGAGTAATAAGGAATTCAGTGCCCATGGAATTCAATAAGTTAGAAAAAGAAAGGATCAATTCTTTAAAAGACTACGAAAGTCATCCAAAGTCAACATCCATATCAATTTTTAAATGTTAAACTTTTATATTAAACAGCAAGCTTTATGCAAAGGAAAACTTAATGGAACAGATAGTTTCACTGGCAAATTTTATAAACACTTAAGGATGATATAATATCTATTTTACACAGTCTCTTGCAGAAAAGAAGGGAAATGAATAGTTCACAATTTTACATGATTAATATTTCCCTAATATCAAAACCAAAGATATTATCAGAAAATAAAACTATATGCCAATATCCTCATAATAGGTGCAAAAAAAAACCTCAACAAGTCTATTAGCAATTGAATCCAAAAATGCATAAAAAGATAATATAACCAATATAAAAGATTAGGTACAAGGCAAGGATGTTCTTCCCCACTCATACTTTTTAACAGTACTGGAAATCTTAGCTAGAATACTAAGTCAAGAAAATGATATAAAATATATATGGATTGGAAAGGAAGATATAAAGCTGCTCCTATGAGCAAATAATAGGATAATCTATTACACACACACAACCCTCCTAGAATTCCTAGAATTACCTGAATTTAGCAAGTTCAGCAGGACACAAGGTCAATACCAGAAAATATCTCAATATAAAAGCAATAATTAGCTGGAAATATTTATTTATATCAAATCTTAGTTGTAGTTTATAGAAATAAACAAGGTAATTTTAAAGTTTGTACTAAAGAGTAAAAGAACTAATGACAATGTAGGAGGAGTCAAAATAACTGATTTTAAGACTTACATAAAAGCTATAGTGGGCCCTCCCTGGTGGCGCAGCGAGTTAAACCTCTGCACTAAGACTCTAAAGCCACTTCCCCAAGAGTTCGCTCCTCGCCTGCCCTGGAGGTGACCACGTGGCGCGGCAGACCTCTCCTGACCCACCCGCTGCTCCCCTCAGCAGTGTAAGTCTGTTGATCTGCCTGTTCTGCACCCCGCTCTCACTCTGGTGAACCCTCTCACTGCCCCTGCACCTCTGGCCTGTACCCCAGTTCTGTGTGCATAAATAAACAAATCTTTAAAAAAAAAAAAAAGCTATAATCAATAGTGAAGTATCGGCAAAAAAAAATAGATCAGTGGGACAAAACAGAGTCCAAAAATAAACCCTCAGAGATTTGATCACTGACAGAAGTATAAAAATGAGTCCGTAGAAGACAGTCCTTTCAACAAGTAGTGTTAGAACAATTAGTCATCCAATGCAAAGGAAAAAAGGAAACTTTGATCCAAGTGTCAAATCTTATACAATAATTAACTCAAAATAGATCATAAACTTAAATGTAAAACAAAACTTTTAGAGGAAAATATAGAATATCCTTGTGAACTGGATGCTAGAGAAGGAGTTCTCAGAAATGACACCAAGATAGTCATAACAGAAAAAAATCAGAAATTTGTCTTCATCTAATTAAAAACATTTTTGACAAAGATGCTTTGACAAAGTCAAGGCAATAAATAGACAAGCTATATGTTCACAGAAAAATATTTGCAAATCACATCTCCAACAGCACCAGACTTGTAGCCAAGACATCTATGGAACTCTTAAACTCAACAAGACATCAAGAACCTAATTTACATCTGGATAAGAACCCTGGAACCTCACCAAGGAAGGTAAACAAATAACAAATAAGCACTAGAAGATATTCAACATCATTAGTCATTACAAAAATGCAAGTTAAAAATCATGAAGTGGGCCCTCCCTGGTGGCGCAGCGGGTTAAAGCACAGCACTGAGAATCTAAAGCCGCTTTCGCATGAGTTCGATCCCCGCCTGCCCCGGAGGTG